TCTCTGGCTTCAGAAAAAAAAACATATTCCAAATCATTCGATGATGTCTTGTATGCAGTAGGATGTGCATTATGAATTGGATCCATAGCGTTTTTAGCAATATGATAAAGAAAAAGGGCACCAGTTAGATGAGTTGGTGAAAAAGCCGACGGATCCGTTTCGGAATTTTCCTGGGGCGATGTTCTGCTTTGACTGCTTTGACCTCCAGCAGCTCACCTGATTTGATGGTGATCTTGCAGATGTCGCACGGTTCGGGGTCTGTTTTGAAGGCAGAAAGTGGTTTCCGGTGATTTTGACTCCAAATTCACCTCATATGCAGCAATGCAGAAACCTCCCCTCTGCGGAATCCTAGAGTCCAAACCTTATTTGTGCATTTGAAACCGCTCCAAAAGCGATATCGATGTGTCTCTCAAATTTAGTCTGGTGAGTGGTTTCGATTTTTTAAACTTGTCCATCCCTGCCATGATCAGATAGGGTGACCAGACAGAGTGTGCCTAGGTTTTGCAGGCAGAAATTGCTGGCAAAACATGACAAAATAAAACAGGCATCTATCCTGGTCTTGTTTCAGGATGGTTTTCGTTTCAAATCATATTCACCTAGTGGACATATCCGAATGTCTCACTTTTCAGTGGTCAGTATTTTGTTCATTTTGGCAATGTACGGTGTTTTTTCACCTTCAGATTGCGGTTTGTGCATGCTTGGTCTCATTATTTTCTTATCTCTTTCATTTGTTTCAGCCATTGTTTGCCAATGCCTCAGATTCTTCACTCATGGAGGATTTCATAGTTCGTAACTCCATATTTTTTTTTCTTCCACGCAATTATTGTCAGTTTCTGGGGTGGAAATCGCTTGAACTTGAACCAACATTGGGTGGAACAGAGTTCTAAAGAGAGAAATCTGAAGTTTCCAACTATGTTGTTTCCTGAACAATTGCACCCCACAGACAAAGAGTGTGTGCCTGAAAGGTTTGCCGCATTTTTGCACACGTTAGTCAAAAACATGCTGATCTTAAAACGCATGTGACAGAATCCAATCCTAAAAGGTAACACAAACCTTTGCATGATTGATTCATGTTGGTATTTGTTCAGCTTATCAAATTCGGAAAACAACAAATGCCATACAGGCTTCATATAGGCTTTGCAGCACTTTTTTAGGTGAACATTTCACTTCGGGCAAACTGGGTCTCCCGTTTCTTTGTCCGTATGGCAGGCGGCACAAAATTTTAGCGAGAAATGCCAACGTGCTTCAGACGACGATTTTGATGGGTGAAACCTTGAAATCATTCGTGACCTGTGCAGGAGATGAGCAGCATCGAGAAGTGGGAGCTTCAAAATTTTTCAATGTGGATGACTGACTTCTCTGCCCAGGAAATTCTCGAAGGTTACAATTTTGCTACCCCAACTATGTTTATTCCCCATGAATACCCCCATGAAACTCCCCATCTATTGTTGGTAAATCCTTATTGGACCGGGTATAACCCCGGATCGTTCAGAGGTTGCGACAGAAAAGGCTGCTGCGACAAGGTCAAGCCCCTGATGTGGAGGCCGCCTTGGCATTGCCCTGGCAACATGGAGAATTGACAATCAAAAATGGGAGTTGAAACATGAAAAATGGTGATTTAACTATGAACAATGGGGTTTAACCATGAAAAATGAGAGTTGAAACATGAAAAATTGATGTGGAACCATCAGACAATGGGGGGCTTTCAACAAAGAGGGGGGTTATAGCCACCTATCATCGGGATGTAACTTGTATCAAAACTGGAATATCAGCATGAAAAATAGAGAAAACACCAAAACACTAATGTAGAACCGACTGAAAATTGGGATCTATTTCCATGATTTTACAAAATGGCAATTCTGCGATGGTTCCAGCCGGAGAACCTGGACTTGGGGCGATTTCGAGAAGCTCCTGTGATGGCTATTCTATCTAAGCCATGCAGGGGTATGGACCCAAATGCTGGGCATGGTGTTGCCAGTTTAAGGCCTGAAATATATAGGAAAGTTCATGGAAGCCCCTTTGCCTGTGAACGGCTTTCCGCTTAAATCTGTTGACAGACGGCGGATCGAACTGCCTCTGGGACAGGGGGGCGACGAACTTGATGTCTCCTATAGAATTAGTACAGCCTGTGCCATGGTCAAGACTTTTCGGTAAAATGCCAAAGGGGGGGTTATCATATTAATTGTTAATGAGTATTAAATTGCTTGATGTAATTTATGTGTATATATGGTACCGTGTTCCGTGTTGCTGGACCCCCATGGTATGGGTCCCCCAGACCAGCCCCCAGACTGCCAATTCACACGCTATCTGCACCACTTTGGTGCTCTAGCTTCCAATTCGCACACTATTTGCAGCACTTTGGAGCCCCATGCCCCCCATTTACAGTTTATTTGTGCCACTTCTGAGCCCCAACTCCTATGTACTATTTACTACGTACCATAAGCCTTTATGATATGTACTATTTATAGAATATGCACTATATATTACACATTATGTACTATTTATACCATTCATAGAAAATATATACACACTATGTAAAAATACCTACACACTATACATATATATATATATAGTAAATATTTTATGTATAGTATTTAGAGTATATACAGTATATATATATCGTATATGTAGTATATATAGTATATGTAGTATATATAGTGTATATATATACAGTGTATATATAATATATATATAGTTTATGTAGTTTATGTAGTTTATGTAGTTTATGTAGTTTATGTAGTTTATCTAGTATATATAGTATATATAGTATATATAGTATATATAGTATATATAGTATATATAGTATATATAGTATATATAGTATATATAGTATATATAGTATATATAGTATATATAGTATATATATATATAGAGTATATATATATAGTATATATATAGTATATATATAGTATATATATAGAGTATATATAGAGTATATATAGAGTATATATAGTATATAAAGTATATGGGTAACCTCTCGAAGAGATGTGTCATTATGGATTTGATTGAATGAGTGTTTAATGAAACACGTCAGCTCACTTCCACTTTGCAGTTGCGAAAATTTATTACCCTGAAGTTTTGGTCCAAAGGGCCTTTTGCACCAATTGGTGGCTGACTTTGACCGCGTTGGGCATCGTCACAGCTTCAACGCGAGCCGCACCCTTCTTTGGAGCTTGCTTCGCGATGTGCAGCCTGGCAACCTCCAACAATACCGACGTGATCGAGATGCACGCCGTGCCGAAGGAGACCACGAAAATTGGCATTGAGATTCAACTCAGGGTTGACAGGGGAGTGGCCTGACTTGAAATTTTTCCAAATGATCTCAGTGACATTCTGCTGATTTTTCCTCGTAGACCCTGGTGGTTTCGAACTTCTTTTGTGCAGAAAAATTGGAAGAGATCCGAATGCAGTTTGGGGTCAACCTTTGCCCTTCTTTTTGGAATTGAGTGCTGCGCCAAGCCTGAATCGAGGCTGAATGCTATGTTCCTGTGTGGAAAAACCCTGAACAATGGTGAGCATGAATGCCAATGTGGGCACAACATGTCACGAATGTCAGTGTAGGCACAACATGTCATGCTGCAATGTGCACATGACAGGTGAGTGAATGTTCCTGCTCTCCGTGGTTCATAGGGTGCGCAGCCATTTCTAGGGGGAGACTTTTCCGACGGGTTGAACTTGTACGAACCTCAGATACCTGTTCTTCAACTCTCTCCCTTTCCATTGAGTGTGTATGGAATTCATCAATGTTGGGAGTGATGTTGACAAGATGACCCACCAGGTGTGCGAGCTGGCCTGCCGTTGGCTCAGCAATACAATGTGCATGTGGATGTAGATGTGTACACCAAAGTCATCTGGGGTCAAAATTTTGTTCCGAGGGGTCTTGGTTGGGTAAGTACATCCTACTCCCGGTAAACCCATCCCCTCAAATGTGTGAGATTGGATTGGTCAGGTTCGACCTGAGCCTGCCAGAGTCTCAATGTGAGCCTTTTCATTTTTCCTCATGTGAGGTTGCACCTCTCAGATGTGAGTGTGTCGTTGTGATGCTTCTGATTATGGTATCACTCGCAACCAGGTGGATCTTTCATCCGGTTTGCTTCCCAGTGTGGGAGTGCTCACATGATGACATTGCGATGGTTGAGCACCTCATGTTTAACACCATATTTCCAGATGTTTGGATCGACTCAGGTGGTGTCCCTTCAACCAGAGCTCTGGAGACTTTGCGGTGTCTTGCTCAGGGAACAATGCCCCATGTGTGGAGGTTCAAGTTGCACCATGTCCTTGCAGTGCGTCTTTCACCATGGGAGATGTGTCCCAAGGTGATAACCCTAAGGGGTTGAGGTGTCAGGCACTTGGACAACAAATTCTGACGATGTTTGCATCCAGTGTTTGACAGTGTGGTCATTACACATGTTTGTCCTTGTTTGCATTGAACAATAATGCTGCGCAACATACCAAATCTGCAGGCACCAATTTCGTTGTGTACTGTACCTGGGTCATGTTGGAACCTCGGGTGATGTGCTGCATATGGTTTTAAGACGAATGGCACATTTGCATCGTTTCCTGACGCATGATTGCCACATTTTTCTTTTATTATTGTCCATGACTCTACCGGCATGCAGGTGATGGGTGCACGACTCGCTGGGCTGAATGACCCGCTGGCTGATGTAGCCGAACTGTCGCAAATTGACAGAGACAGATTACACAGTGCCATTTCTAATGCACAATTGTCATGTTCCGCTGTACCAGACATTGTGATGCCCTGGAACCTTCCTGGGCTATCGTTGGTGCAGGGGGATGAAGGAGAAACAATTTTTCCTTCGGTGCCAACTGTTCCTGGATATGTTGAACCTGTGCCGGACCACTCCACACAGGACAGACCCTCAATTCCGGTGAGGACCAAAGCAACTGCGTTCGAACATGCAATTGCGTTTGACTCACGAAGGGTAGTCCACTTGGATGATGATGAACAGTTTAGATTATTAGTCCAGAAATGGGAAGCGATGTTGTCCATCAATTACCATGCCTTTGACCTTGGTGTCGAGATCTCTGGTTTGTCACAAGAGGAGCGGCTTAGAGCAGTCAACGAGGTGTTGGGTGGCAAAGCTGTTGCTACCATCCGCCAGAGACTGGCCCAACTTGGAAAGTATGTGAAGTGTGCAACTGGCAACGCCAAACGCCCACCTTTCCCTGTCACAGCCGAACTCATCAAAAACCACATCAGACATTTGAGGAATGAGTCAGCAACCTATTCCAAGCTTGTTGGGTTCCATGAGGTGATGAAGTTCTCCAAGCATGTGATGGGTTTGGAATGTGATGTAACTGCCTTCGAAACTGCCTGGGTGAATGGCATTTTCAGACTGGCGGGGCAGAATCGCCCATTGCGAAAGCAGTCTAACGTTCTCACAGTTTCAGCGCTCCAATTTCTGGAAGCTGAGTTAGACAACGAGAATCTAGCCTTGGTGGACAGGTACGCCATAGGCGTCATCCTTTTTACGACATACTCCAGGGCTCGATTTGGTGACCTAAGGAAGATCTCTACAGTGATTCTGGATGAGGCAAGCTCCATGGGCTCTGATTGTTTGGGATACATTGAAATGAACTCGGCATCCCACAAGATGAGGGCAAATGGGAACCGCCTTGGAGCGCACCTTCCATTGGTCGCCCCCATCAAGGGGTTGGGAAAAGCGGCTTGTGGCAAAACATTCATTTCCTTGACAACCAAGGTGGGCCTCAATTTGGCAACGTGGTGCCCACTCTGCCCCCTGCTGCCTGCACCAAATTTGATGGGCGATTGGACAGGGAGAGCAACAACCTCTGGAGAGATTAACAAGTGGATTGTGCAATTGCTGGCAGGGAGTGGCTTTGACACCACTGGCTTCTCCCCACATGGATGTAAAGCAACTACACTCACGATGCTTGCGAAATATGGTGCAGACTCGGAAACGAGATTGGTCCTTGGTCATCACCAAACCAAGCAGGGAACATCAGAAGTCTATGCACGTGATGTGCAATCGGCACCGCTCAGAGTCTTGGAAACGATGTTCCGAGACATACGTCTTGGCCATGTTTGTCCAGACGAGACCCGGTCGGGCATGATGCAAAGATGTGATGACACAGTTACAATTCAGCCAACCCTTTTACCGTTGCCTGCGGCGGAGGAGAGTGCACCTGAGGAACCATCCATGATGCCAGTCATCACCAGCGAGGCAATTTTTGGAGATGTCGAGAGTGAGGGCGCATCCAACGAGCTCCCCATAGAATCTCTCAACGAGGATGCTATCAATGAAGCCCCTGAGGAACACGATGACTCTTCCTCTTCCTCCTCCACATCGAGCTCAGAGGACAGCCTTGACGAGATGGTCGAAGAGCTGGCACAACAGCCCCCGGACGTTGCAGTGCAAGACATTGCGTCTGCAGGCAAACGACAGCCATCCTTCTACCAACATCGAAGCTCCAAGGTTGTCCACATGTTGATCCAAGGCTTTGGCCAGTCCTTTTTGTGCGGGAGACAACTTAGCAAAGAATACAGGATGTGCTCCCTGCTTTTGGTCGTTGAATCAATGAAATGCCAACAGTGTGTCAAGAGGCACAAAGGTCGCAGCAGGGACATCGATAATGCACAGCTCGACTCGGCAGTGAAACGTGCCCGCATTGAGTGACAAAAAGACGTGTGGAACTTCAGTTGTCCTCGCACGTGTAGAGCGTGCAACAGTGTCCAACGGACATGTGTGGTGAGATGTTCGCCAGTGGAGTCATGTATTAAATGTGATCCATGTGGAATGCACATAAGCCGGCTAAAAAAAATAACTTTCTCACCTCAACAGACTATCATGCTATAGTTGCGCATACAGTTGCGCATGATGTTTTTAATTTTCACAGATGACATGACCAGTGCAGGATTTTCTTTTGTCTGATACCTTACGCTGCGCCCTTACCATGGCAACAATCTTGGATTCCAAAGCAGCATTCGTTGCAAGGGCTCAGGAACATGGCCTGACAAATGACCAGCTTGGTCGCCTCAGAGACCAAGGAATCACCAGCTTGGCGCAATTGGCCTTCGCCTTGACTACGCCAGGCACTGCACCAGATGAGGAATCTCTCAAGAACCTCCTGTCGGACAATCCAGACCAGGTCACAGTTGGCCAGCTATCTTCGATCCGTCGCCTGACCTTTGATGCACAGACACTATCAGCTGCACAGGTCAAGCACATTTTGGCGGGCACGGAGACAGCACGCAAAGCCGAACTGGTTCCTGCAGAGAGGTCCCACAGGATTCAAGACCAACGAGATCGCTTGCAGGGCATGGATCTTTCTGGCCCGTTGGAGTGCAGTCATGCATCCTATGATTATGTTGCCAAGATGTTGGAACAAGGTACACCAATGTACTTGGAACCCCACAGGTTCACAACCAGATCTGCAGAGGTCGCGAGGGAAAAGCCTGGCAAAGAACTGATACTGGACCAGACACACCTTACGGTCAAGGAGGTCGAAAACAAAGACAAGTGCCCTATGCTAGGGGAACTTCAGGTCTTCCAGGCCTTGACCAGGCGCTCCCTGGCCTGCGACCTCATGGGTGTGTGCACCTTTCGCACAATGGAGAAGTGGCATCGCTTCCTCATGGACAGCATGCAAATTGCAGCGCCCCCTAGGTACAAGTCTGCAACCATTGAACAGATCCTGCGTGCAGATCGAGCAGGATGGATCAGACTTGCAGAGCGCATTGACACCCTGCGCCGTGCCCCAGACGGGTCATTGCCCCTCGACAGGGCCATTGAGGAGTTGCGCACAGACCCAAATGTTGTTTTTCATATGATGCCACTGCCCATGCCAAGAGTGCCGGAGAAGTCAACTCCAACCAAACCAGCAAAGAAAGACTCACCTCAGAAGCCCCAAGGTGGTCAAGGCAAGGGACGCGGCAAAGGAAAGGGCAAAGGCAAAAACAACAAAGGCAAGATGCCTCTCGAACTTGTTGGATTCAACCAGACAACCAAGTCAGGCAAGCGTGTGTGTTACAATTACAATTTGGCCAGAAGTTGTCCCTATGCGGAGCCCAACAAGGAGTGCAGCAAGGGGATGCACGTGTGCATCAAGTGCGGAGGTGCCCATCCATTGCACCAATGCACTACAACAACCCCTGCGTGACTATCTGGGGACTCAACTGTCCCTTCGATCCAGAAGAATTTTCCTGAGCCTGGGCCCAAGCCCCAAGCGCCTGATCGATGCATCAAGCGGCACCATGACAATTTTTCAGAATTTGATGTGCAATTTTCAAAGCGTGTTTTTGGCAAATCAATAGCTGACCTCCTCTTTATCGAGGTTTTCTCAGGGAATGGAGGCCATACTGCAGCCATCCGGCACATTGGGTTGGCACACAGCATAGGGGTCGATGCCCATGTGACAAAGCGGGTGAAATCCCCAGTCATCCGATTGGATTTGACCTCTGAACATGGGCTTGCGCTTTTGTGGCGCATTTTGCAGCAGGACAATGTTGCAGCAGTACACCTTGGACCCCCTTGCGGCACCAGTTCCAGAGCCAGGGACATCCGCCGCAGGTTTGGTAGTGACCCCAAACCGCTGCGATCAGTTGTACACCCCGATGGACTGCCCTGGCTACAAGGCCTTGAATCAAAGAGGGTAACATCGGCAAACACCCTCTATGACATCACAGGCCAAATCTTTGCCTGGTGTTGCGACAATGGCATCCTGTGCACCATCGAGAACCCAGTTAGATCACACATGTGGCGTACATCGCATCTTTCCCGCCATTTGCATGGCAGATCAGGTGTTGTTGAAGTATGCTTTCACACTTGCATGTTTCAAGCCCAACGCAAGAAGCGTACCAAACTGCTGTGTAACCACAAAGCATTTGATGTTCTGGCCATTGACTGTGATGACAACCATCAACACCTTCCCTGGGGGCTCGCAGGTGATCAGTGGGCAACAGCACAAGAGACCGAGTACCCCCACAAGTTCTGCCAGGCATATGCCAAGGTTTGCTATCACTTGTTTCTACAATATGGAGCCCTGGCGGTACCACAACAAATGGACCATGATGCTGTCCAACTTACTCAAGCCAGCCGCGCAGCCTTGGGAACACAACCCCGTGGCAAGAAGCTCAAACCGCTGGTAAGAGAGTTTGCAGCCAAGGTGACCATTCAGGGCCCACAAGCGTGCCTTGCAGCCCTGCCAGACAAATGTACTTCCGATGTCACCCTGCCTACAACTTGCACTCCCAGCTTTCCATTGCCCATGCTGCCCAGACATGCAACAAGACTCCAACCTCCGATGCCAATGGGGGATAGTGCGGACCTTGGAAATTGGACAACCGAATATGGGATTGCGTGGAAGCGAAATTCATTTATCCAACAAGCAGCTGGACTGTCACACCCTGGACACTTCATGGATGGCGTCCATCCTGCGATGGTTGAGCTCTTTGACAGGTTGGCACAGATGCGCAAGTGGCTACTTAGAGCTCAAGAACTTCGTGACCAAGGTGTGGACGGTTTGGAGCAATCCCCATCGCATATCAAGCGTATCCTGAAGGGCAAAAACATGCAGCTCTTCGATGAAATGAACAAGGCGGCAGGATCACCAGATATCAATTTGGCCTCAAACGTGTGCAAAGGTTTTGACCTTATGGGGACCATCCCTTCAGGTGGAATTTTCCCTTGCAAATACACCCATGCTACCTTGACACCTGAACAAGTGAGAGGCATGGCAAAACTCTCGAAACAGGCCACATGGACGGCAACAAGGAAGTGCAAGGGCCAAAACCTTGCAGCAGAGGTATACAAAGCGACTTGTGATGAATGTGAAAAAGGGTGGCTCCGTGGCCCCTTTCAACTACAAGGGCTCCCTGAGGAGGCTGTACTCACCAGAAGATTTGGCATTCAACAGTCCGCCACTCTGGGCGATGGGAGTCGTGTCTACAAGACAAGGCCAATTGACGACTTCTCCGAATCACTGGTGAATTCTACGAACTCATGCTCGGAAACAATCCAGCCTATGTCCATTGACATGATCCTTGCGGCTCTGGCCATGAGGGCCAGGAAATGTGGATCAGAGAAACTTTTTGGCAAAGCTATTGACTTGCGGAAGGCGTACAAGAACCTTCCACTTTCAGAGTCAGCGCTTGACGACGCCTACATTTGCGTTTTCTCGCCTGAGGCAAACCAGCCTATGGCATTCCAATCTCAGGTGCTCCCCTTTGGAGCAAGAGCAGCGGTCATGGGATTCTGCAGAGTATCCTACGCACTCTGGTTGATAGGAGTTGCTCTCTTCAATTTACATTGGACAGTCTTCTTTGATGATTTTTACCTGATAGCCTCCGAGCAAGAGCGAAGGCACATTGACCTCGCACAAAGTGTCTTGTTTCAACTCCTGGGCTGGGAGGTGTCGTCGGAGAAGGGCGCCGATTTTGATGCTGTGGCTCGTATCCTTGGAGTCCAGATTGACTTGAGTGAATCAGACATTGGCATCTTCACGGTGTGCAACGTTGATGCCAGGGTCAAAGAACTGGTGGCGACAATTGACCACATTCTTTCGCAACAAACCCTGTCAGCGGCCGAGATGAGAGTACTGAGGGGTAGGCTGGTCTTTGCAGAAGCTCAAATCTTCGGAAGGATTGCAGGGCTACATATGCAACAGCTGGGGAGATGGGAGTACGCAGTTGGCCACTCGTCGATTGACCCAGAACTGGTAGAAAGCCTATCCTTTCTTAGAGACCGAATCGTGCTCGGTGGACCTAGAAGGGTCAATTCAGACCACGGAAGAACTTTCCATTTGTACACTGATGCTTGCCTAGAGAATGGTGTGGGCGGCATAGGAGGTGTATTGCTGGACCAATATGGCAAAGTGCTCTCCTTCTTCTCTCAGGTTGTCACTGAACACCAAGTGGCTCTTTTGAATCCACGGCACAAAGAGACAATCATATTTGAGCTGGAGGCGCTTGCAGTCCTGGTTGGATGTACCAATCTCTTGCCTGCAGAGGGAATCATGACAAACGATCGCATAGTAGTGTTCATTGACAACAATTCTGTGTTGAGCAGACTGATATCTGGAAAGTGTGGGAGTGAACTTGATGGGAAAAATTTCCAACATGTCTTGGAATGGGAGTACAACACTAACTCCGTATGTTGGTATGAACGTGTGCCGTCGGCAGCCAATGTGGCAGACGGGCCGTCACGTGGTGACAAATCGGACCTTGAAATGAATCTTGAAATTTTGTTAGAAGTCAGCGATGTGCTGCACGCTCTCAGTTTGGCGTCTCCCTGAGTGTGATGTGGGGGAAGATGCAGCCAGACGATATCCCCATGTTAAAAAGAAAGAGCGTGTGCGGCTTCACTTGATCATCACATTGCACACGAATTGAGCTGCATGAAATCATCAGCCATAAGGGTAACCTCTCGAAGAGATGTGTCATTATGGATTTGATTGAATGAGTGTTTAATGAAACACGTCAGCTCACTTCCACTTTGCAGTTGCGAAAATTTATTACCCTGAAGTTTTGGTCCAAAGGGGCGTAAAAAAATTCAGCAACAAAACCCCACCCTCCCTCTACCTTGTTTTGTTTTCACCCTCCATGTCCTCAAGTTACTCATTGCACCAGAACAAATGTTTGCTCGACACATTTCCTTGTGCATCCCCTATCATGGCTCTTGTGCCTCTTGAAGAACCTCCAGCGCTACAACAGCTTTTGCAGAATGTCTTCATAGCAGACCGTCAGCTGACAAGTCTCTATCGTATGCTTGGAGACCTCATCGATATGACCGATGACTTTGAAGACTTACCGGCACCAGCGGCCTTGCTTCATTTGCATCAGACAATCCGGTCCATGGAGCATGCCATCTACTTTGCCAAGATTGCCAAACTTCATCAAATCATCCGCCTGCACCGAGCAATCCGGACTACTTGGCAACGATGGCATGTCATACCACCAGTGGAGTTGGATATCAACTGAGGCACTGGACAAATGTGCGACCATTCTTTTTCTGATGGCAAATGTGTGCATACAGCACTTTTTCCGCCACTCCGTGGCTGTCCTAGCCATACCGTGCAGATGCAGCCAGACGATATCCCCATGTTAAAAAGAAAGAGCGTGTGCGGCTTCACTTGATCATCACATTGCACACGAATTGAGCTGCATGAAATCATCAGCCATAAATAGTATATATAGTATATATAGTATATATAGTATATATAGTATATATAGTATATATAGTATATATATATAGTATATATATATATAGTATATATAGTATATATATAGTATATATAGTATATATATAGTATATATAGTATATATAGTATATATAGTATATATAGTATATATATAGTATATATAGTATATATAGTATATATAGTATATATAGTATATATAGTATATATATAGTATATATAGTATATATACAGTATATATAGTATATATATAGTATATATATAGTATATATATAGTATATATATATAGTATATATAGTATATATATAGTATATATAGTATATATATAGTATATATATAGTATATATAGTATATATAGTATATATAGTATATTTAGTATATATAGTATATGTATATAGTATATATAGTTTATGTATATAGTATATATAGTTTATATAGTATATATAGTATATATAGTATATATAGTATATATAGTATATATAGTATATATAGTATATATAGTATATATAGTATATATAGTATAAATATAGTATAAATATAGTATATATATATAGTATATATATAGTATATATATAGTATATATATATTATATATTTATAGTATATATATAGTATATATAGTATATATAGTATATATATAGTATATATAGTATATATAGTATATATAGTATATATAGTATATATAGTATATATAGTATATATAGTATAAATATAGTATATATAGTATAAATATAGTATATATATATAATATATATAGTATATATATATAGTATATATAGTATATATATAGTATATATAGTATATATATAGTATATATAGTATATATATAGTATATATATAGTATATATATAGTATATATATATAGTATATATATAGTATATATAGTATACATAGTATATATATATATATTATATAGTATATATATACTATATATATAAACTATATATAGTTTATATCGTATATATAGTATACATAGTATACATAGGGTACCTATATATATTATATATATTATATAGTATAGTATCTTCAATGAATGTAGAAGTTTAACGGGGGTGGGAGAATTAAACCCTTATTGAAGATCTTCAATGAATGTAGAAGTTTAACGGGGGTGGAAAATTTATATTCCCTAAATACCCTTGTCGATCTTCCCAATTGAATGTAAAGTCTAACGTTTGACATCCCCAAGTGTACAGCATAGAAGGGGTGTGGGCGAATCGGGGTGTTTGCGCGTATATATATATATATAGTATATATCGTATATATATAGTATATATAGTATATATAGTATATATATATAGTATACATAGTATATATAGAATATATAGAATATATAGAATATATAGTATATATAGTATATATATATAGTATATATAGTTTATGTAGTTTATGCCTACGGCCCGAAAACCGGCCCAGCGTTTTTGCGTTTTTTTGTGTTGTGATATGTTTGGGGGGTGGGGTGGGGGGGTGTAATAACGTCCTGTTTGTACATTCTCATCGATCTTCTTCGGTAATTACACTTCATGCTACGTTCGACACTTCTGTTTTACTTCGGTAAGCACGCTTCATGCTACGATCTACACTTCTGTTGTACTTCGGTAAGCACGCTTCATGCTACGTTCGACACTTCTGTTGTACTTCGGTAAGCACGCTTCATGCTACGTTCTACAGTTCTGTTGTACATCGGTAAGCACGCTTCATGCTACGTTCGACATTCTGTTGTACTGCGGTAAGCACGCTTCATGCTACGTTCTACTCTTCTGTTGTACTGCGGCTTCGTGCTACGTTCTACATCTCTGTTGTACTGCGGTAAGCACGCTTCATGCTAGGTTCGACACTTCTGTTTATATCATGGTGGTGTCTTTTGGCACCTCATTTCCATTGTGATTTATCAAAAATCACTGTTTTACTTCAGTGGGAGTTAAAAAATGCATGTTGAACACCCTCAAAAAACGTTACGTTTTTGGGATGGTTTCAACATGCATTTTTGAACTCCCACTGCGGTAAAACAAGTTTCATAAATCCCAATGGAAATGAGGTGCCAAAAGACATCACCATGATATAAACATGTGGCAAATACCAATGATTTCACAAAGACGAACATCACCATGAACATGAAAACTGATGAAAACGCTGGGCCGATTTCCAGGCCGTTGGGTAGTTTATGTAGTATATATAGTATATATAGTATATATATATAGTATATATATAGTATATATATAGTATATGTATAGTATGTATATACACAGTATGTACATAGTATATACATAGTATAGACATAGTATGTACATAGCTGAAGGAAGTTTAGGAGTGAAACTTCCGACAATATGGACAGATGAAAAGCAGAGACGGGAAGAGTCAGATTGAAGAGAAGGAGTAGAAGAGAGAAGATCAGAGAAGAGAAAGAGTCAGAAGAAAGAAGCTCAGATGCGCGAAAAGGTAGGAAAGTCGCGAAACACTATGTTTTTCCGATGATTTGTGGCTCCGGAGGGTCGAAAAGTAGGCTTGCTAAAGCGGCGGGTGCCGAGCCAGCTGGCCAGATGAGAGATGAAAAATTGCACGCGGTTGTGGCGCGAAGCACATTTGCAAGTGAAAAAGCTAAAAAAACATCACGTTCGGAGCATTTTTGGAAGTTGAGATGTCGAAAAAGTGCACGCCGTTGTGGCGCGAAGCACATTTGCAAGTGAAAAAGCTAAAAGCACCTCGCGTTCGGAGCACTTTTGGAAGTCGAGATGTCGAAGAAGTGCACGCCGTTGTGGCGCGAAGCACATTTCGAAGTCAAAATGTACAAAGCACTTCAGCTTCGGACCACTTTTGGAAGTTGAGATGTCGAAAAAGTGCACGCCGTTGTGGTGCGAAGCACATTTCGAAGTCAAAATGTACAAAACACTTCAGCTTCGGACCACTTTCGGAAGTTGAGATGTCGAAAAAGTGCACGCCGTTGTGGCGCGAAGCACATTTGCAAGTGGAAAAGCTAAAAACACTTCACGTTCGGACCACTCTTGGACGTTCAGATGTCGTTTCGCGTGGCGGGCGCAAGGGATTGTGCACCTTCTCAAAAGTGAGCAAAACGTGAGGGTTTTGTAGTATTTCCAAAAACGATGGCAGGCGTGGGACATTTGAAGAGGATCTGGAAAGATGCATCTTCCGTGGCAGGCGCAGTACAAGCTACATGTTCATCAGAGCTGTTAGGAGGTCAGGGCGCTGATTTCCTGAGAGGGGTTGCATTTTGGAGCCTCCGATCTTCAGGTTTGCTGAGATGATTTTGCGTGACAGGTGCAGCACTTCCTATGACCTGGCATCAATTTTTCGTGACAGCGCAGTAGTTTAGACAGGTGGAGTGCAAAAATTGCAAAACGCATTGGTACGAGGGCGCTGCACTCAACTTTCCATTTTTGAAGGAAGTCTCGCAGAATTGTATCGTTTTTGATTCTTGATGTTGTCAACGTCGAGAATTGAGGAAGTCTCGCAGAATTGCTTCGTTATTGATGTTGTCAAGTTAGGAAAATGAAGAAGTCTCGCAGAATTGTTTCACGTTGTCAAGTTCAAAAATTGAGGAAATCTCGGAGAATTGCTGCGTTTTTGATGTCGTCAACTTTGAAAAATGAAGAAGTCTCGCAGAATTGCTTCGTATTTTGACGTTGTCAAGTTCAAACATTGAGAAAGTCTCGCAGAATTGCTGCGTTTTTGATGTTGTCAACTAAAAAAATGAGGAAGTCTCGCAGAATTGCTTCGTTTTTGACGTTGTCAAGTTCAAACATAGAGGGAGTCTCGCAGAATTGCTGCGTTTTTGATGTTGTCAAGTTCAAAACCTGAGGACGTCTCGCAGAATAGCTGCGTTTTCAAGCTTGCAGATAGACAGGTAGATAGATAGATCGATGGATGGATAGATAGATAGATACATAGATACATAGATACATAGAAAGATAGATGGATAGATAGACAACTAGATAGATAGATGGATGGATAGATAGACAGCTAGATAGATAGATAAGATAGATAGATAATAGATAGATAGATAAGGTAAGATAAGACAAGATAAGATAGATAGATCGATAGATAGATAGATAGGTATATAGATAGATAGAAAGAAAGCTAGATAGATAGATAGACAGACAGACAGACAGACCACTACACTACACTACACTACGCTACGCTACACTACAATACGCTACACTACACTACACTACACTACACTAGACTAGACTAGACTACACTACACTACACTACACACCACTACACTACACTACACTACCCTACAGCTACAACTACAACTACATCTACAACTACAACTACACTACACTACATTCCGCTACACTACACTACACTCCACTATATTCCACTACACTCCACGACACTACATTCAATTACACTACACTACACTACATTACACTACACTACACTACAGCACATTCCAGTAGACTCCACTACACAACACTCAATTATATTACTCTACACTACATTACACTACACTACACTACATTCCACTACACTACACTACACTACACTACAGTACACTACTCTACACTAACTACAGCTACAGCTACAACTACAACTACAACAATATTACATTTACACTATGCTACACTACATTGCAGTACTTACACTACACTACACTACACTCCACTACACTCTACTACACTGAATGACACTGCACTACAACTACAACTACAACTGCAACTACACTACATAACATTACACTACACTAATGACATTACATTACGCTACCCTACATTACACTGAATCACACTAACTACAACTACAACTACCTAAGACTACACTACAC